GTGCTTGCCCCACCTTGCCATCCATTGCGCAGGTCCCACACACCCCCCAGACGACTCCCAACGCGTCTCAGGACCAGGTGGAATGTCTGCAGCCGCCAGACCTTGCTGCCCAGTCATACAAGGGTTCAAAACTAAACCCTAAACCCTCAACCCTCAAACCCTCAAACCCCAAACCCTAACCCTAAACCCCTAAACCCTATCAGGCTGCAGCTCAAGTGCTGCACTGCCTTAGGCAATCCTGCAGTCAGCCATGGGTTGACAGCTGGTGCCAGCAGCCTGCCTCACTCTTTTGGTGAGTCATGGTGACGTCATACGCAGTGCTGATCACGTGTGTCATGACTGTGCAGCTTCCACCCAGGTTGCATCCCTGTGGGTGCCAGGATGGGGGTGGAAGTGCTGCACTGCTGACTGAGGCAAATCTGCAGGATGCTGCACTTGGCACCCCAGGTCAGACTGCTGCCCAGCCTGCACAGTTTTGAGCTGTGGCTGTTGGGGGCAGCTTGCAGACATCTTGCAGCACTCACACAAGCAGACACAGCCATGGGGGGAGTGCTGGTGGGCTCGGGCCAGCCTGGGTACATCATACCTTGGATGATGTGCACAACACAAGTGAGGGGGCTTTGGTGCAGCCCTCCACCGTGCTTGCCCCACCTTGCCATCCAATGGGCAGGTCCCACACACCCCCCAGACGACGCCCAACGCGTCTCAGGACCAGGTGGAATGTCTGCAGCCGCCAGAACATGCTGCCCAGTCATGCAAGGGTTCACACCTAAACCCTAAACCCTAACCTTAGCCAGCATATGGTTTAGGGTTGTCACTTTGCCAGTTTCACGAGCAATGTGTCATCACGTGGGTGTGTGAACTTGTGTCGCCAGCATGCTTGTAAGGCGGTGAACTCACTGAACTTGCCCTTCCCAACTCAGCCCTACGTAGTCCTTCTCAAAGCCAAGCTTTTCATTACTAGTTGGGTCAAGGTAATATATGAAAGGCTGACGTCGTCAACTCTTGATGTACAATGAAATGATGCATGCATCAGGCGTTTTGCAGCCCGCAAAACTGCATGCGGAAAACACAAACACAGTCTGGCTGTAACTGCGCCGCGCACATATGGTAGCTTTCCTGCGGCGAGCCTCTTGATACTGCCTTCACACATTGTGGTCAAAACAGGCCAACCAATCGCCTTATCAAAGGACTTGAGAAACATGAGTGAAGGCAGATGCAACTCGCCACGGAAGATTTTGTCGGCTGCCGGCCCCATTGGCCCTTCATCCTGCGTGGCAGCCACAGGGGCGCGCAGAGGACGACGAACGGCCTGCTCGCCGATTACCGTGTCTGCGGCCGTTTGCCGCGCCTGAGACCGTTTGCCGCTACATCTCTCCTCCAAACCTGTGGTTGATGCAAGAAAAAGGCGAGTGGTATGGAGACAACGCAACTTGAGGCATAGGCAGAAAAAAATCAGTTGTTTATGAGGTGGTGGTGGTGGGGTGTCATGATTCACATTTGGCGTTGCGATGTAAGCTCAAACTAGCTTCACAAATATGCATATGTGCCCCAACCCCACCCACCCATTAGAGCCGAAGTAATCCTTCTTGGTCTTGGACTGCTCCTTGGCCTCCCCGCGCAGCTTCGGGCAATCACCGATGCGGTGGCCCAAGCCGCCACAATACGCGCAGCCCTTGACATTGCCAGCAGCAGCGGCCAGCTTCTCCATCTCCTCCATTGGGTCATCAAGTGCCTAACGGGAAAAATGAGGTGTGCGTGAGGGAACAAAGAATGTGATCAGGTTGACCAGCCTGGCAAAGGGCCTTCCATAAGACTATTGGGGGGCAGATGTGCGGCCTGCATCATGCTCCTCGCAAGCTGCAAAAGCGGTTTGTTGAGTGCACAACGCAGACGACATTGTACCAGACCCCTCCTTTGCCAGCACTGCACCCCTTGTCTCAACCGTGCCGCACCAGCAGGAACTGCGGCACACGCTGCTTGGCTTCCCGGAGCAGGTGCTTCAGGTCCAGCAGGATTGACTCCTCACACTGGCGCGTGTTGACAAATGTGGTGGCCACTCCTGTCTTGCCGCTGCGCCCTGTGCGCCCGATCCTGTGCAAAGGAGGGTCGGACATATCAAGCACATGGAGTTATTCATGCGGCAAACCAATTGTAGGGATGGTCTAAAGCAAACTTGGCAGCACATCAACTTGGCATAATTGTTGCCGACAAGCTGCCTGCTCTCTACCTGTGCACGTAGTTTTCAATCTCGTCTGGCATGTCGTAATTGATGACATGCTGCACACCAGGGAAGTCCAGCCCCTTGGATGCGACGTCAGTAGCCACCAGCACGTCCTTCTGGCCGCCTTTGAAGCCGCTGATCGCTGCCAGACGCTCCTCCTGGTCCTTGTCACCATGCACTGCCACCACGTCGACACCCTTCCAAGACAGATGGCGTATTGGGGTTGTGGAAGGGGGGCCATAGTGAGGCAGGCACATGACCGCCTGGAACAGTTGGGGGCCACGTGCTGATGGCGCGCAAGATGTGATGTATGGCGCGCCAGCGGCTGGCATCCTGGACAGGCACTCAACATGGCCATTATACCAGCAATGGTACTGAATCCTAGGCTGATTACTACTCAATCACCACCCAGCAACCCATGATGAACGCGCATGTTCCGCTGTGTATTGCAACTTCCCACCTGCAGAAGCAGGAACTCGTGTATAGCGTCCACGTCTTTCTTGTTTTCCGCAAAAATGAGGACAGGTGGAGCAGTCTTTTGCAGGCAGTCCAGCAGGTACTCCAGCTTGTCCTCCTCCTTCACATACTCCACCTCCTGGATGATGTCCAAGTTAGTCGCACCTGTAAACAGAGCGAGTTGGGAGAGGTACGAAGGGGAGGCGAGAAGGCGGAGGGGCAACAGAGGCGCACGATACGTCAGCAGGGTGGTTGCCCGCTGGTGGGTTGTCCCCTTGAGCATGACAGGGCCCGTGCCAAATCCAAGCGCTTGAAAGCATGTGACAGGATGCATGACAGGCCAACACCCTTTCCCTGCGTCAGCGCTAGCCACACCCCGTCGCACTGTTGGAGAAGGTATCTCCCCCTCCCCCTCACCCGCGCGGCCGACGTTGACCTCAATGGGGTCCACCAGGGCGCTCTCTGCAAAGGATTTGATCTTCTGAGGCATGGTGGCGCTGAACATCAGCGTCTGGCGCTGGTACTTGAAGAATGACAGGATGTCTCGCATCTACATAACAGCAGAGGAGAGAGGGAGAGGCCCAAGGCAAAGGGTGGGTGCCACAAGAGGGGTTGCAACATCATGTGGTCAGTCCAGCATGCAAGAACAAAACAACAATCATGATGGGCACAGCTTGATCCCAGGAACACAAGCATTTGATATATTTGCACCATCACACCGCTGCAGCGTAGGGCCACAAAGCCACAAAATCTACCCAACCAACCAGTTTGATCCACCCCGTTATCTCACCTCCTCCTCAAAGCCGAGATCCACCATCCTGTCCGCCTCATCAAGGCACAGGTACCTGGCGGCAGGGCCCAGGCAGGGCAGGACAGGGCAGGGCAGGACATCAACTTCAACATCAGCATGAGAACGCGGCGGACAGCGCTGTGGATGAAAGCGTTCCTAATCCCAGGTGGCATAAGTTGTTGTGGCTTAATCATTCCCAAAGAAGCCCCTGCACCTCCTCTCAGCACAACGACAACCACCTTTTGCAGGCCTGACCTATTGCTGAGCATGACATCTAGGACCACCTTACGTCCCCCAAACACCTGTCCCAACACAACCAGCCCGCCGACACACCTGCAGATGTCCAGGTTCATCCTCTTCTTGTGCAGGAAGTCCTTGAGGCGCCCCGGTGTGGCCACCACCATGTGCACCCCGCGCTTGAGGATGTCCGTCTGCTGCCGCATGTCGATGCCACCAATGCACAGCATGGTACGAAGCTCAGGGAAGCCGCCCTGGGCCAGCACGGTGGTGTAGTTGACGATGATCTCGTGCGTCTGGCTCGCCAGCTCGCGGCTCGGGCAGATGATCAGCCCCTGAGGCGATTCAAGGGGGTTGGGACAGTGATGATAGGGGCTGGCGGCACCAGAACAAACCTCTACAGCTGGACGGTGGACTCTGCAGCTGCAAGCCACTCGGAGGTATGATCGGGATGGAAGCAACGTTGAAATTTGACCGGTCGCTAAATGCAGCTGGGAGGGCGTGCCGTGTCCGACCAAAATGTGCAGGACTCACCACAGGGCCCTCCCCCTGCACCAGCGGCAGCCTCATCTCCTCTTGCAGCGCGATCATCAGCATGGGAACGCTGAACACAAGCGTCTTGCCTGGAGTGATGGGGAGCAAGTGAGGCGCACAGCATGTGACCCTGATCTGGGGGCGCATAATTGCATGCTTGTGACCAAGAGGAAGGTAAATGCTGAAGACCAGACATGAAATACTGCATTGATTTGTGCAGCAAGCATCCCTGTACTCCCAACAATGATCACTGCTGGCCATCCCCCTGTGCCCCAAAACCCTGCATGCAACAGCCCCGCACCCGACCCCGTGAAGGCGATGCCGATGATGTCGCGACCGGACAGGGCTGCGGGCATGGCCTGTATCTGGATTGGTGTGGGCTTCTTAATGCCCTTGGTCTCCAGGTGGTGCAGGATCGGAGGCGGCAGCTTCATGTCCTTGAAGCTCGTCAGGGGAGGCGGCACGTTGTGGCCGTCAACGGCGATATGAAACGTGTCGCGAATTTGCTGCGCAAGCGGGTGGGAAGAAAGGGTGTCGGGTGCGGCAATAGGCAGTGCGGGCTGGCAAATGAATGTGCGATAAGGCATCCCCAAATTGCCAGGATTTGCAAATGCTGCCTGCTGTGGGTGATGCGTCTGCGGCCACTTAAGGCAACACCGCCTGTGAAGTCAGCCCCACCGTCCCTCATGCAAGGGACGCCATTGCTATGCCTGCCCAAGCACCCGCACTCCAGCTGCCAACATCCGCGGCAAAAACCAACCGCACCTGCTGCCGCCTGTGGCTCATGCGCCGGGCCCCGAGCGGCGCCTTCCAGCCTGTTTGCATGCTCTTGGTGTAGGTGACGCCCTGCGCCAGCTCCTGTACTGCCTTGAGCGCCTGCTTCTGCATCAGGTTCCGCATTATGTCCTGCTCCTCAGCAATCACCTTCTCCTCCTCGGTCTTCTCGGGTGCGGCTGCGCGCGCGCGCGCTGTTGAAACCAGCAGGCTCTCTCTCGCGCGCTGCGCTGCAGCACTCAGCGGTCGGCTGCCATCACCACCCTCGTCGTCGCCAGACAGCACGTCTGTGCGAGCGGTACCCTGAACGCATCGGCGGCGGGCAAGGGTTGTTCGCGCCGCACGAGGGTGTGATTGGCTACAGGAGTCAGTCGGGCGCATGGGCGCGGTTGCAGGAGGCGTGCAAGTCTGCGAGCAACCAATTAGCTGCTGCAAGCGCGTCCCTGCGAACGCACCCCTCTCAGCTGCCGCAGCTTGGCCTCCTCCATCGCTCGCCGCTTCTTGACGGGCACGTACTCCTCGAAACTGTGGTGACAGCACACATGTTGCAGCTCTGGATGCTTCGTGCAGGCGGCGAAGCGGAGCAGCGCCAGCGCAGGCGTGGCGCTCACCCATCATCGACATCCTCATCAACCGCTGCCGCTGCAAACAGCCCGGCGCTTTTGTCCTCATCATTTTCATCTTCATTGCGTCTGTAGCGCTTGATTCGCTGCTGAGATGGCTCTGCGCTTGGACCGCTGCCTGTTGCGGCTGCTTCGGCGATCTCTTCCATTTCAATGCCGTCGTTGCTTGATCTGGAAAGACAGTCGGTGGAAAGCCCTACCGGCGCCGTGAGATCATGCAGGCCGACCAGCTGCGAACTGTGATGTGTAGATGCTGACACGGACGCACTCTAAAGCGTGCCGGTGGGTGAAGATCTGTATTGCGAGTCATGTGCGGCCGACCAGACACCCAGCAGCTGCCCAACCCAGCGATGCATGATGATGACGTGGACGCACACTCAAGTATGTCGGTAGGTGAAGGTGAGTATTGCGAGTCTTCATCGGCAATGGTGCGGCTGCTTGATATCTGTAATGCTGTGCGTCGGGGGTTTGGCTGACAGTTCGGGCACGCAAGCCACGGCCAAGAAAAGGTCGTTGCGTCAGTGCTTTCAGGGGGAGATGGGTAACAGGGGTTGAAGTACGGTACACATATTCAAGAGCATTCGAGGCGGATCCGTTTACAGTAGCCGTAAGTGCACCCATGTGGCGCAATGGCTATTTTGCTGACATCCCTCTGCTATCCCCCGCGCTGCGCCCGCGCGCCTGCTGGCTGCTGTAGGCACGGATGATTATGTCATCACGGCACCCTAGCCCACGGTGGCTGAAGGCTTAGAGCTGTGGTGTGCACACGGGCTTGCGTGCAGCAGAAGAAGCTCAAACGGCCTTGGTTGCAGGTGGTGTATTGAACAAAACCGCCTGCATCTGTCTGGGCTGCCAGCCCGCCCGGAGCCCATTGCACACAGGCGCCCAGTGTGCACGACAGCCCAGCAGCACAGACATATCACAATACTAAACACCACCTCTATAACATGTGATCGATTGTCCTGGCGTCGCAGCTGCCACGCTTCCACTCACCTGACGAATCCAGAAGCCAATGCCCCTTCGTCGTGCCAACAGAGCTGCGGTTGTGCATTTGCTTTGCTGCATCATAGTGCCCACCGTGCCAAATCGCTGATGCTGACGTGCTCGCCCTCAAGCCCACACCGCACAGGCTGCATGTGGTGCCGCATGCTGCACATTGCAATGTATTGTGTCCAGCTTGGTGAGGGGCTTTTGGTATGCTTGTGTGTGTCACCAGTGGAGTGGCAGGAGTAAACCCTAAACCCTAAACCCTAAACTTTGGCAGCAGCAACGCTGGCTCCACAATGCAACAGTGCACGAGGACAGGTTGGAGGAGCAGCACGCGTGCGTCACTGGCAAGCAACTACAGCTCATATGGTCAGCAAGTTGAGGTGGGGGCATGCACGACTGCCTGTCAGCTGCAGTGCTGTCTGGGGGCGGCTGCAGGCAGGAGCGGTGAACACCCTTAAATGTTGTGCCACAGTTGTGTGTGGCGACCAAACCTACCCTGATCCTGCGACTATACTGTACAGATAGAGCTAGCTTAACTGCAGTGCAAACGTGCTGTGCGTGACGCTGTCCTGCAGCCCACCATGTTGAGCAGGATAGATGCCTCCCAAAAACGCGAGTACGGGCATACATCAGCCGGTGATAGTGACGTGGCGATTACACCACAAGCGTACGGCCTGGTGAAGTGCAGGTCAAGGCATGCCGGCGCAGCTGTGGCAGGCCTGCCATAGGGCCGCCCTTCTTGAACTGCTGGTGTGGATGCTCCGGCTGCAACGAGAGCAGCAGGGCGGCTTCACCCCATATCTGCCTCCTGATGGTCGAGCCGCATGCCCATCACAGAGTACGAGTTGCAGCAGCAACAACGAGCTGTGAAAGGAGCGCAGCCGTTTCACCTCAAAACAGCACAAACATCACCATTCATGCATAATCGTGCAGACGGCATCAGATCAGGAACGCAGCCGCAGCATTTTGTTGCATGCACAATATAGATGTGGATGCGCGTACCATGGCTGTACCACAGCCAACCAAGCCAAACACATAAGTCTTTCAGATGGCACTGGCCATTCACCGTGAAGGGCCAACCAATGAGAATTTGGTTGCCTCGGTGCCCAGTGTGAAGCTGCTTGGAGCCACAAGGTGTGGGACTGTTGCTTGCTGGAATCTGCAGATGAGGTTGCAGCCAAGAACAGAGCGGGCATGTTTTGAGCCGCAGCAGCTCTAGTCACGTATCACGGATTGTGCATGCGTGCGACGGGTCCTGGCAAGCATCTGGCTTGCTCCACTGCGCCATCCAAGCAGCAGCAGCTCAATTGCGTGTCATTTCTTATCACAGTGGTTCTTTTTCTCTGCTGTGCATCAGCACAAATGGTGCCAAGCTGGTGTTCATTGCTGTCCCAAAGGCTGCAGGGCACAGTGTGCAACTAGTGCTTCGCTTAAGACGCTGCGTACATGGGTGATGGCCTTTTGGGGCCGCCGCACGTACCAACTATGCAGCAGCTTTGTGATTGTAGGCCACCCGGGTTTCAACTCCATTCATCAGTCTGTCCCTGTTGATAATTTTACAAACGCTGGTCAAAGAGGGGAAAGTGCCCTCAAACCAGTAGGAACTGCACAAATGTGAGCAGCAAGTCAGCGCATGATGCACAGTCAAAAGCAGCTGCCAAGAACTGTCAGCGCGTAATACGCACATGTGCAAGGTGCGAAACAGACGAAACATAAGAATCGTATACGCAGCAGTCTTGTCGCGCAGAGTTTGGTAGGTTTGAATAGAAAATGGGAATTCCTGCCAAGCGTGTGACTGCTTGGCATGTCCACCTCCAGGAGGGCCCTCACGTTTGTGTGCTTACAAAGGTAGAATGCGCGTGTTTGTTTGCGAGAGCATGTGGGTGACCTCGGCCATAAATGGGCATGAGCCCAAGCTGTGCTCCGGCCCCACACTTGCCCTTCTCGTCCTGACCCCGCGAGAGGCCGTACACAGCCAGAGTGCCCCACACAGGCTGGGAGAAAATGTTGATCAGCAGTTTCCCACACGACACTGCACCTGGCACCGCTGTTGCAGATCACTTGGTCATTTCAGGCACAGCCTTGACGGAGGTCTGGTCCACCTCAGCAGCAGCGTCTGCGCCACGCACCTTCTTGACTGTGTCGGTAAAAGCCTCCTGGTTGCTCTCCGAAGGCGAGCACGACAACAGCTGAGTCATGATCTTGCCAATGTGCACGCGGCTCTCCCAAATGGGGAAGCAGATGCACACGAAAGAGGCCGCGAGGCCCCAGATGAGAGCGATGATGACCCACATGTGGAAGTAGGCCCTGAGGCAGAGATGAAGGCACGGTGACAGGTTTGGTTGGACAGCTGGGAGCATGAATAATGCTTTCTGGTGGGCCCCAAGTCAGTGGCTTGTGGAGAAGATGCTCTAATAGCGGCGTCATGGTAAGCATTGGTGAACAACAAGTGCAGTGCAGCTGTTTCACGGATGTTCCTACTCAACACTAAACTCAATATCATGTTGCCGACAACTCACAAACCAGCCCCGAATCACCCCATACATGATTGTCACTCACTTGTTGAACACGCCAGCAGGCAGGGCCAGCACCGGCCAGAGGATGACAAGCAGGATGGAGAGGCCGCCACCGGTGAGCCAGGTCCACTTGAGGGCCTTGGTGAGGGCCTCAGGAGAGTCGTTGCCGTCGGACAGGTAGGCGTTGGGGTCCTCCTCCACCAGGGGGATCTCAGCCAGGTTGGCCCAGTCGAAGTTCTGGGGCTTGATGAGGCTCACCACGGTGCAGATGAGGCCTGACAGCAGAATGGCCACCAGGTTGCCCGCAAGCATGGGGTAATCACCGCCCAGGGTGTCAATGGTCACCTCGCCGGTCAGGCCCTTGGCAGTGCACACCCAGGTGATGACGGAGCCAATCAGACCACCCACGGCACCGGATACAGCGCCCACAGCCGAGCACTTGGCCCAGGTGATGGAAAAGGCGATGGGAACCACCGCCGAGCCGACACACACGCCCATGAAGAGGTACACCCAGCCAAGGCTGAGACCGATCTTGAGCAGCACGATGGCCAGCACGCCGGACAAAATGCCGTAGGCAATGACGACGCAGCGAGCAGCAAGGATCATCTGCTTGCCCGTGGCCTTGGGGTTGATGTAGGTGCTGATATGGGAGTGACAGGGGAGGATGCGAAGGGGGCACGAGGTTATGAGTGAGTTGGGGGCATCCAGTGGTTTTTGGTGGTGAGCACCCAACACTACTGGCCGTGACTTGCACCAGTAAGGGACATCGCATTGGTGGTTTAGGTGGAATTGCGTGGACGGCCCTAGTCAACCCTCTCAGGTGCCAGGGTTTTCCTCACAGCCACCCCCGGCACACCGGCTGATGAGACTCACCGGTAAACATCGTACGAGATGAGGGAGGACACAGCGATCTGCTCAGCAGAGCCAGAGGCGGTCACGGCCATCCACAGCTGGAACACCATGAGGAAGGCACCGCCGGCCCCAAGCAGCATGGTGGCGACAGCCGGGGGCACCAGCCCCTTGTTGGACTCGGTGATGGTGATGGGCAGGTTCATGGCGCGAGCGCCCAGGCCCATGGCAGTTGCCATGGAGAAGGGCACGGCAAACCAGCACAGGCCGCCCAGCAGGTAGCCCTTGTACGTTGCAGAGGGCTTGGCGGCGATGGCGCTCTGCCAGTAGGCCTGGTCAACAAACACAGTGCCGACTGTACAAGCCCAGGGGAGGCAAGCCATGGCAGTGGCAGGACTCAGCTTCACAAATCCACAATGTCCTACAGCATTGCAGTGATCAACAACATGCCTTGGTGGAACCCCTGTTCAGGCCCCGTCTCATCCCAAACCTCCAGGCCTTATCCTCGCG